TAAAATGAGCCTCTGTAACACATCGTTTTACTAGCCTCAGAGTGCAGAAGTTATGAATTGAGTATAAATGATATCTAATTGGTTTAAGTGATTTTCCATTACTGGATGTTTAGATTGCTTCCAAACTTTTGCTACTATCAGCAGAACTTAGATGAAAGTCCATGTGGCTAAGTATTTGCACATATTTTTTTTTAAGATTTTATTTATTTGACAGAGATCACAAGTAGGCAGAGAGGCAGGCAGAGAGAGAGGAAAGGTGGCAGGCTCCCCACTGAGCAGGGAACCCCATGCAGGGCTCAGTCCCAGGACCCTGAGATCATGACCTGAGCCGAAGGCAAAGGCTTAACCCACTAAGCCGCCCAGGCACCACTTTGCACGTATTCTTAATGTTTCCTGAGAATAAATTCCTAGAATTGGAAGGGTGGGCATAAGATGTGGGCACATCTAAGGACTCTTGACACACATTGTGAAATTGTTCCATAAAATGTCAATGCTGATTTACTTTCCAAACTGTAATATGGGGGGGCGGGGTAGCTTTTTCCCTTTAGTAATTCTCAATTTTTAGCAATTTTTCTCCAATTTTTAACACTTTGGTAAGCAAAATGACTTTTTTTTTTTTTTTAGTTTGTATTTCTTTAATTACTAAGGCAAATGAGATGTTCCGTATTCATTTATCGGCTAGTTGTGTGATTTGCTGGTTGGTATCTCTTGTCTGCTTTTCTACTAGGATCTTTTTTCTGGTGTGTAAGAATTCTTCATTTATCAGCTCTTTGTCATTAAGGCTAATAAATGTCATTTGTCTTTTAGTTTTGGTTAAGTTTAATGTTCAGAAACTTTTTTTAAAAAAATGTACTTATTTTAGAGAGAGAGAGATAGAGAGAAATTAGGGAGGAGGAGCATGGAGGAGGGGCGGAGGGAAGGGGGAGTATCACAAGCCAACTCCTCACTGAGCACAGAGCCTGCTGTGGGGCTCGATCTCACCACCCTGAAATCATGACTTGAGCTGAAATCAAGAGTCAGACACTTAAGCGACTGAGCCACTCAGGAGCTCCTGCTCAGAAACTTTTCATTGGTATAAATTTTTTCAACAACAAAATGCACTTGGAATTCCAAATTACTCATTTGTAAATGGGGATGTGAAATATAACCATTTGAAATACGACCCTGTATATTAGCTACTTTATCATTGGTTTTCATATCTTTTCAAGGAAAGCTACTCGAAGACACATGTTGCAACATTTCTTGAACCCTCCACGGCAACCAGCACACAGCCCAGAGCAGAACTCCAAGATGTTGGAGATGAAAACAGCACTGTGTCTGGGATTTGCTTTGAAACAGTCCAGTTCAGGGTGGGAGATGAAAACAAGACAGAAACAAAACAGAATCAGCCACATGTTAGTAATTGTTAACTCTGGCTGGGTAAGGGGTACAAGGGGTTCTTTATACCATTACTTCTTGTTGTATATTTGAAGATTTCTGTAATCAAAAGGATTTTTTCTCCCCCCCCCCCCCCTTTATGGATTGGCCACCAGCTTCACAGTGGGGCCTTCTGGAATAACAACGGTGATGAATATGAACTACACACACATCAAGGCCACTTTTTATAACATAAAAACGTTAAAAGCCCAGGCCTTGAAAATTAGGTAGGGCTGGGTACAAACCCTTTCTAGTGTCAGTGATCTTGAACCAGTTCTCAACCTCTCTGAAACTGAGTTTTCCTTTATAAGGAAGGGCACTAGTAACTACCGCAAAGGGTTCAGGTGAAGATTAACGGGTATAAAACTCAGTGCCTCGCACCCACCGGCACTCAGCAGAGGAGCCTTCATCATGACTCAGTGATGCACCAGCCTGACGAGCTCCAGCCAGCATTTCCTGGTGGTGTTAATCCAATCCCCTTCTACTGCAGCTGAGCTTTCAGTTAATCGGTTTGGGCACCAGACAACCGCTTGGCAGAGGACTAGGCAGAACAGATGTCAGGAATTATGTTCCCGACACCCAGAAGAGAAAACAGATAAGGCCACAGGATAGGACAAAGCACTTAACTCCCAACCTGACTCAGCGGGTCCCCAGAGAGAACTGAACTCCACATTCCAAGGAAGCAATCAAGAACAAGAGCGATGACAACAGCGGGTCATTCAAAAATTTGACCAAACGCTGTCATCACCTAGGGAGCTGAAAATAACACAACGTCTGGGGCCCACTCCCCTCCCAGCATGCGGGGTGTAGACTGGGTATCAAGGTTTTTCAAAGTCGCACATGACCTAAGGCACAGCCCCCCTGCTGTGGGGGCTGGGGTGGGAGCTGGGAAGAGGACAGGGCAAACAAAGAATAGAACAGAGACCACCGTATCCCACATGAACCCCATTAAAACCAGCCCACTCATGTGGTCCCAAGCTGTGTCCCATGCCAAACAAATCTAGTCCTATTAGGGTCCCCTTGCTACCTCTATAAACTTCAAGAGCCCATTACTGGTAATAATTCACAGGGCTGAAATATGGTAATAACATCAGGATGCGTGCCGATCGGTATTTTAAGGAGTACCGAAGTGACAGCCCCCTCTGGATGCTGGTCTCACAAAACAAAACAACAAAGTCCGGCTAAGCGACGGAGGGGACTGGGGGAGGCAGAAAGCGCTCTGTCTCACAGCCATCGGGCAGCCTGTCCCCGCTCCTGAAGCACACTCAAAGAGGCAGCCTCATTTCGTGAAGTTACTGCAGCATCTTTGATCAAGGCAAAAAGCACATCCGTTTCAATCACCGTAACGGGGCGAGCGGGCTGTCGAGCCACCGGCTGCCCACCGTGGTGAGCCAGCCTCGGGCCTGTGGACACATGGCAGTGCTTAGCGTGTCAGACGAATGAAGGGGTTCTTGACTGTCTAGCCAACATTTGCTGAACTTCAGGGGCCCCTGTGTTTAGCAATTCCTCTCCCGGCAAACACCACCTGGTCAGGAGCGGCCTCGCCAAAGCCAAAGCCGGCCAGCGGCTCTCTGTCGCCAGGCAGCAAAGCCCTGAGAGCCAGGACGGCAGGAGTCAGCCTTCTCACGAGCAACACACGGGAGGTGACACAAGCTTCGAGAAAGGGGAGAATGACGACCATCCACTTGCCCTCCTCCCCACGACCTCCATCCTGGTTCCCGACCCCAAACCTAGTCGAGAGAGGTCTGATTTTCTCCCCTATGTGGGAATTCCCAGCAGTGCGGTTCCAGAGACAGACACAAACACGTGCCTTCTTTTCACCAGAATACATGAAAAATAAGAAATTGTGGAGGGAGAGGTTCAACAGAAGGTTTTCCTTTCCTTAAGCGACATTGTCCATAACATCTTGGGAAGACGTGAGCAGTAGTGCCAGCGTAGATCTGGGGAGGACGCTGAGGAAAATGCAGGATATTTAAATAGCATCTATGCGTTCCAAGGGTTGGACGTGCACGAGCATATGTAAATCCTCACCACAGCCCCATGAGGTAAGCTATCGTGATACTCATTAATAATAGTCATAACAAGAGTAACATATAATAACATACATAACGTAATGACTATGATTATGTATGATAATAGTGGTGACCATAATCTCCATTTTTCACATAAGGACACTGAGGCCCAGAGCTCTATGACTCGCCTGAGGTCGGGGCTGGGTGCCTTCAGGATCCCCGGGGAAAACCATAGCAGGAGACTGCCTTCTTGCAGTCCACGCCTCAGAGCCTTCTGGAAAGCTGCCGGGGCAGGGCACAGCAGAACAGGGATGACTGAGGGCCTGGGAGCGGGAGGGGTCTGACTCTGAAGCCCAGCCCTGCCTCTCCCTGTCCCTGTATGTGGGGATAACAACGCGTACCTCGCAGGCTTGTGGTGAGGCGTTAGTGAGAAAAGGAATAAAAGTGCTTCTCGAATTGTCGTTAGCCAAGGCCAGTTTAACCCAGAGGCTCTCCATCCTGGCTGAACATTTGAATCAGCTGGGAACTTTAAAAAGTACGATGCCCAAACCCTTCCCCGCCACCCCTCTGCATTTCCACGCCAACAAGTGGTCTATCCGAAATCAGCAATCCCCAGGCCCGGCCCCAGAAAGAAACCAAAGGCCAGCCTGCAGCGTCTGCCCCCTTGATTCAGAATTACGGGAAAGCTTTTAAACCTCGGAAGCCTCTTCTTCCAGCCCTGAGGCAGCGGGACGCCTCCAAATGCCGCTCTATTCCCCACAGGGAGAAGCAGGCACCAGGCCCACCCCCAACCACATGACTGATTCACACTGGTCCAGTGTGACCTTCCCTATGTTCACCCGAACCACACCTTCATCCAGCTGCCTCACACCCGGCACACTATATCCCCCATCCAGTCGGAAAGCTTTATAAAGGAGCGCCCTATTGTCCCGTGCTGCCCGTGTTTTAGAAAGAGTTGTGCCAACACCAACATACCCAACATCGATTCTACACAAAGCACTAACCAGAAGACCGTGCAGGATGAGAGGGGGGGACGGCCCGAAGGCAATTTTTAAATCTGAGCGCGTGCATGCCCACGCCTGTGTGATGTGTGTGCATGTGCACACACACACGCACTCCAAGAATCATGGTACAACGTGTACTTAAAAGGAGCCCTGCTTCGTTCAAGGACTAAAGGTGGGAAGAACGGGATTGCAGAAGGGGTAGAAATAAACAGTGAAGGGATTACCAGGGTTGCCCTTGGAAACTGGCAGGGATAAGAAAAATAATCAGCCCGCATTTGACAGAAGAGAAAAATGGAGACAGCCAGCAGGGAGGACGGGGACCAAGCAATGCCAGTTTCCTGGCTCAGACTTCCATGCCCCTTTTCAGGAGCCACTGCCAGCTGGCAAGGGATGGCACGGAGGGCCCCGGAGGGGGAATGCAGGCACCAGAAGGTAGCACAGAGGGGTGTCAAAGAGCCCTCCACAGTTTCCCAGAAAGCAAAGGCTCTGAGGGGCCCTCCCACTCGCAAGCACCTCCCCTCGGCCGCAGTCCAGGAAATGGGCCTGAGAGACTTGGCCAAGGCCTCACCTGGGTAAAGGAGCCATCCTCGCTGCACTCCGGGACAAACACCGCCTCCTGGGGCTTCTTGGCTTGCTCCAGGGCCTGAGCCCGCTCCAGGCGACACTTGCTCTGGCCAGCGTCTATAAGAGGAGAGGAGGAGCGAGGTTCGTACTTCCCTTGAATCCACACGGGAGCCACGAGACAAAATGGCTGCCCAGGCCTAGGAAAGCTGAGACAGAGCCTCTCTGCGGGGGGGTGAGCCCCGTACCACCAACTGGCTTTTCTAACAACACAAAGCCAGGGGCTAGTACGTGCTGCTCAGCCTCCCCTTCCCCTTAGTGTTATTCTTAGAAAAGTTAGGGAGGTGCCTTTATACCAGATTCTGCTTATTTTTTTCTCCCAAATACTCTCAGCCCCTCCCATGGGAGGAAAAAAAAGTCCCACTTCTTTTATTTTTCACCGGGTTTATTGAAAATCTTGCAAGCCCAAGGGGTCTCAGAGATGTTTTAGAGTTCAAGAATGGCAAGTGTTGGGGCGCCTGGGTGGCTCAGTGGGTTAAGCCTCTGCCTTCGGCTCAGGTCATGATCCCAGGGTCCTGGGATCAAGTCCCATGTCGGGCTCTCTGCTCAGCAGGGAGCCTGCTTCCCTTCCTCTCTCTCTCTGCCTGCCTCTCTGCTTACTTGTGATCTCTCTCTGTCAAATAAATAAATAAAATCTTAAAAAAAAAAAAAAAGAAAGAAAGAAAGAAAAAGAATGGCAAGTGCTTTCTCTGGAAGATCAGAAGCTCTAAGGCAGCCTGCTTGGTCTCACACAATTCCTACAAAAGCTCTAAGCAGCCCAGAGCTCACAAACGCAAATATCTACAGGGCGGAGGAAAGTGATATAAATTAGGGAGCTGAATCGGGTGTGCAAAGAATGGCACTCAGCTTGGAGATGCCGCAACTGGAGAACAGGCCCCCCTTTTAAAGGAGGGAGCTGCCACTCAGGTCTCACCATGTGTCTCCCTGTGGGAGGGAACACAGACCTAATATGATCAGAGCTTCCAGTTATTTATGAGAAGTCTAAAAATCCAGATTTTCATGTTGAATCTCTCCACTTTTAAATGTTGTCTCAAATGTTTTTAATATTTTTAAACATGTGAGCAGCCCAAACAAAATACATCTGTTGGCCAACAATTTGGAAGCCTTCCCTATTCAGGAGCCAACAATAATGTCTTGCCATTTTAAGCATCTCCATTTACAAAAATAAAAAATAAAAATAAATAGTTCTAGCCAGATAGCAGTACATCCGCTAAGCCCTAGCCTGGTGGCAGTATTTGAAAGACAGAATAGTGCTCATTCCTTCGGGTAGGCCCGCTTTCCTTCTCCTAGTCCCCAGGGGAGGGGTGGAGAGAGAGCAGCAAACACAAGGAATGGACTCATTCTGAGCCTCCCCCATGGACAGCGCCCCATGCAGGGCATGGTGGCGCCTGCCTGGGAGCCTCCTGTCTGCTGGGCCAGTGTGCACACACTCACCTTTGCATCTGCCACGATGCACCACACCCAGATTCGGGTCTCTGCATTTGGCTCGTTGGTACTCACACATGGACTCATAGGACCTGCCGTCGGAGGCACAGATGGGTTTGGGCTGAGTCCTGGAGCAGTGGAGGTTGCACTGAGGGTCACGGTCGCTTATGAGGAACTAGGTTGGAGAGAAGTGAAAGGGTGTCCAGGTTACTTTTGCAAGGAAAGTAGGGGTGAGTCCATGTCTCACAATACTGGTTTGCCTGGGGGAGCAAGTCCAGAATAAACCCAGAAAGTTATTAAATCCTAGAAGGGGACGGGGAATGGAGCAGCCATGAAGCCTAACCAAGGAAAGCATCCTGTGCTAAGTCATTCACAGGCAGGATCTCCTTAATCCTCGCAATGGCCCTGTGAAGTAGGAACTGTTTGTTTTGTAGATAAAGAAATTCCAGCCAGAAAGAGGTAACTGGTCCAACGTTACACAGCTATAAGTGATGGGCTTGAACCTAGATCAGTCAGAAGTCAAATCAAAGCTTTTACCACCAGGATATTCAGTCTCTCCATCTTTGCATGTGGCCACACGACCTCTGTTTGGGTACTTTCCCAAATCCAGAACTCACTAGCAATCTCTACATTCCATCTTTGGAGAGTTTCATGTATTAGAAAATAGCTTGGAGACCCAACTCCATCACCTTCAATTTCTGCCCACTGCTCTCTGGCAGAATATGAGTGATTTTCTATGAGAAAGGGATTTCCTGATTTTAAAAGATCATAATAATCAGATTGGGAAATGCTGAGTTAAACAGGTTCCTTTACTGCAGGATTTCTCAGACACGTTTGGTACGTCCTTACGGACCGTGCTGGCAGCCAATTGTGTGCTACTCTTTCCATTGAGCTACTTCCCTTCCCTTGAATCCGGACTAGCCTCAGTAATTTGACCAATAGCATGCTGTGGAAATGATATTTGGGACTTCTGAGCTTTCCAGATTCCTCCCAGGCCTCTCGCAACATTCACTCTGGGGGAAGTCAGCCACCCGGCAAGAAGCCTAACAATCCTGAAACCGTCATACTATGAGGAAGCCCAAGCTAGCATGTGCCAGAGCCACGGGCAGACAGAAATGCCCCACCAACCCAGGCACAGAGACCCAGTGAGTGAAGAAGCCATCTGATGAGTCCACCCCACGCCCACTCTCCTCTGATTGCAGCTACCAGATGGAAGTAAGTATTTGTGTGAGACACCCCAAGTGAGAATCGCCCAGCTGAGCCCAGCCAACCCAGGGAGCTGGGTTGGGATAGCAATACATCATTGTGCTAAGCCACTGAGTTTTATGGTAGCTGGTTACACAGCAAGAGATAAGCAGATCAAGGGGCATGTAAGACAACGCATCTCCCACTTACTTGACCATGAACACTTTTATCAGTGAACCCCTATTAGCAACTATACGATACAGCAGGAAAATAATAATTGGATCATACAATAATGAGCTTCTGTTGAATAACCCATGATTAGGTTGCATGGGCCTTGAGAGCTGGATCCATTCTTAGCCATCCCTAAATACCAGAGTTCTAGGCCCACTCAAGGCTCTCTACCAGCACAAGATGACAGAATGCATATCTCATCATAATGCAGGCAATGTCATGAGCGCACATCTGGCCATTGGTGATACTAGAGTTGACTGAATAATCATGCCAAGCTCATAGGGTTTAGGGGAGGTGTGAATATGACCCCTGTTTCGGGTGTATCTTGAGGCCCTTTGTGCAAAGCAAATAAATGAGAACTTGACCCTTTTCCAGAACAGCAGAGGGAGACTGGAGGCAGCATCACTCCGTTCAAGAGCACTAGGAACAACTGGCCAAATTCCTAGTGAGTCTAAGCCCATCCACTAGTGCTCAGACCGCCTCCCAACTATAAAACCAGTACCTCCCGCTAGACTGACCTCCCACCTGGGTGTTGGCTGCTCAGTACAGGGAGGGAGCAGCTGTGGGCTAAAACCATGCCGGCCTCCTCAGGATCGACAGTGCAACTTGTCTTCCCTGCAGACCCTTGGGGCTCCCACGTGCACGGGCTCAACCTGAGTCCTGCCCAAGCCCAGAGGGAAATGCCCTGAGTGTCTCATAAGAGAGTCCAGTGTTCTGGGATTGAAACCAACACAGCAGAGAGCCATATCCAGAGGAAGCCCGCTGCCTCCCAGGCCACCACACAGAGAGAAGAGCTGAAGCTCACGAGATAGCAATCAGGGGTGGCACCACCCACACCTCAACCCTGCGTGGGATCCCCCGCCTTACTCCCCTCGGGTTGCCCCTGCTTTAAACCCTAGAGCAGTGTCCCATCACCCCTGGGGACTTCCATGAGGTCTCCTAGGCCTGGCAGACTCTGACCCTGGGGCCCCTCCTTGACCTCAGCTCTTATGGACTCGTCCCCACCTTGCTCACTGCTGCTCAGGTACACTGGCCTGCTTTCCATTTCCCAGACACGCTACATTTGCTCCTCCCTCCAGGCCCTAGGACACACTTCCCTCCCACCCCTCCTTCAGATTTCGGCTCATATCTTCTGTTTTAGGAGGCTCTCCCTGACTCTCACAGGTGCCCTATCATAACCCCTCACGCCTCACTTTTCCCTCACGGCACCGAACACAGTTTGTGAGGATGAGCTGTGTGATCTGATTAATGGTGGAGCCCCCAACTCTGAACCCTGCAAAGACAAGGAGAACATCTCTCTTGCCTGTGAATGCATCCCCGGCATCTAGAACAAAGCTGGGAGCCCGAGCATTTGAAGGATGAATGTGATCTCGTCGCAGCCTCACCCATGTGGTGCTGCCTCCACACCAGAGGGGGCCGTGTGACCGGCCTGACCTTGCAGGCTCCCGCCACCCCAGGAGATCACTGGGCTGTGCCCCACCCCTGTCTACCCTGCATCACCAGGCAGGCAGAGGTGGTCCACAGCTTCCCATCCTGGCTCCACCTCAAAATTTAAGTTGTCTCTGAGACTGAGAGGTAGGTGGGTCTTTTCTCTCCTACCCCGCCCAGAGCCCTCTGCCACTACAGGCCTCCGGTCTACAACTGACTGAGCACCAGGGAAAACTTGGAACACAAAGGTCCAGCTGGATAAGGTAGGTTTGGGAAGCCCCGGCCACAGGCTCCTGAATGGGCACAGGATACAGGCGGCTGCAACCAGCAAAGCTGGCCTCAAGCATCTCCCTCCCTCCCTCTGTGTGGCCCTCCCGGCCCCATTCCTAAAGTGTCTGCAGCCTAGAAATGCTGCCGCATCTGGCTTTGTCATTCTGCCTGGTGAAGAGCCAGTCCCCAGCCAGAGGGTGGCATTGGTATCCTCCCACCCCGGCTTCCAGGCCAACCTGTAAGCCCAAGACTGTCTGAAAGAAGGCCAAGGCGCTGCTGTTATCACACAACTGTCTTCCCACCTGTGCACCCACGAGCCACTTACCTGAAGTGACACCTGCTCATAAGACCTGTTTTGTTAAGCGATTTTGCCACGGGAATCAGCAGGGGCCAAGGGAAAACATGCCCTTTCTTTTCTCATGGTCAGACAAGGATGAAAATATCTGTATCTTCTTTTTTTCTCTTTTTAAGTAGGCAGCATGCGCAGCACTGAGCCCAGTGTGGGGTTTGAACTCATGACCCTGAGATCAAGACCTGAGCTGAGACCAAGAGTCTGATGCTCAACCAACTAAGCCACCCAGGAGCCCCAGAACTATCTGTATCTTCTAGAGCCCGGGAAAACTAAGGAACTCATCCTTAGTCACAAAGGGATTGGCGTACCTCAAGAGCAATAATTATAAAAGCTGATAATTAGGTCTCACTTATGATACGTTAACGAATTAAACCTATGAGGCAGGGCAAGTTACAATCCTCATTTTACGGATGAGGAGACCAAACAAAGCCCAGTGACCCCTCCAAGCATGTACTGTGTGAGTGTCAGATCTGACACCCCCAGCTGGCTCGGAGCTCTGCTCCCAACTACACCCAAAGGCACTTCTTCATTATTCCAGAGCAAGGCTGCAAGTAGGAGCTCTGAGCCAGTTGCAAAACGGAATTCACAAAATCAAAAACGATTTATCAAGAGCCTACTGTGTGCCAGCCACCAGCCGATAAAGATCCAGACAAGACAGGCCTGCCTTCCGGGCACCTGAGGTCTCCTGGGAGAAGCTCCTCACAGGGCCCTTGTTCACTTTAAAAAGCAGGGATCGAAAAAGACAAAGTGTCTTTTCAAACCGAAGGAGATTGCCCCGTTCTCTCCTCCTCGGCACACGGGAGAGGAGAGCTATGGGCGTCACCGTGGCATTGAACTACAAGCCATAAATTTGGTTTGGAAATGGCTAGCTCTGGGCCAACAGAGACGCTGTGGCAGCCGTGCCAGAGACCAGCTTAACGACTGGGGGAACATTCTGTCTGCAAATAGACAGGTTAAAGAGCTTCAGAAGAAGCCCCACCTACCCCAACACACGGAGATCCCTCCCACCTCCACAGGGGCTCCCAAAAGGTTCTATCTAGAAATTACTGGTCCCTGAGGCCAAGGAAAAAAGTTGCGAGAAGGCATGGGGCCATTGCTAAAAGACTCTTCCATGGTCTGTGGTGTCCTATTTTCATCTGTTTCAGGAACTGTGTGTATTTGTGGTTATTTTTAAAAAAAGGCAATGAGTTCTATAAAATGGACTTTTAATAGGATGACTACGCCCTAATGGGTCACCCAAAGCTCCAGGGCCCGACGGGGTCACTTTGGGTCCACAAACTCGGCTTATTCACCCATCGGTTCATCTACTTTTGTCTTCAGTAAGCCACTACGATGCACCCAGCCCTGCAGGAGGCCTGGCAGGCAGAACACACCCACCCGGGTCCTGCCCACACTGGGCTTGCACTCTGGGGTGGAGACAAGTGAGCCGGCAGTGGCCATCCAGCAAGGGAACAGGATACTGCAGGACCTAGAGAGCACTGAGTCCTAGGGACTCTGCAATGCTAAAAGCCACACAGTCCAACAGAATATTCTGCAATGACAAACATGTTCTCTGTCTGTGCTGTCTAACACGGTGGCCACAAACCACATGCAGCCATTAAACACTAAAATGTAGCTAATGCCATGGAGGAACTAAATTTTTAGTTGCATTTAATTTTAGTTAGCTTAAATTTGCATAGCCACATGTGGCTAGGGGCTGCCGTGTTCAA